GCCTCCCAGAGCCTGGGGACCCTGGGGTGGCCGCAGCCCCTTCTGCAGGCATCCCCCCACAATTGGCACCACACGAAAACCAGCACTGCTGCTCTACTGCCCCACCAGGCAGCTGTCCTGGGAGCAATGGTTTGGTTGTTGTTTGTTTTATCTCCTTTGCTTTTTTAGTGCATTTTCTTAAATAAACTGCAGTGTTGCAAGTAGAAAAGGGAACCAGCCTTTATGGAGCAGTTACTATGGGCAAGACTCCATATCAAGCAAATCCATGTGTCTCACTGGGCCCTCACAACTTTGTGCAATAGACATTATTGTCTCCCTTTTATAGACGAGGAAACCGGGCCCAGAGAGGTTAAACTACCTGCAGCAAATCAGTAACACAGTGCCTCTCCAAATCCTTCTCTGTTTGAACCTAAAGCCACTTAAGAGAAGTGATGGGCTGCCAGGGCTTTTAGATCCGACCCCCAAAGATGAAGTTCCCTGTTCCTCATTCATTCCTTTGCATGTTGAGTGCTTCGGAGTAGCTGCTCTATGCCAGGCACTGGATTAGTGACTGTAGCTGAGCAACCTGGCCTCAGCTTCTATTCAGTAGGGGTGTGGGTCCATATTAACAGTATATTTGGAGAGGTTTCTATTGTCCCCAGGTTCTGTGAGGGCTGGCCACCAGCCCCGGGGCTGCTCCCCGGGGATAGGGGATCCAGCCTTCTCCTGAGAGAATCCAAGCTCTGGGTGTTTCAGGAAATGTCTGACCTGCCAGGTTTCCGTGTGGCTGATCAGTTAGAGCTGAGGAAGAGGGGCTGGGAGGGGAGGTTTCCCGTCAGCCCAGCTTTTGTCTCTCACATAAGCCCGAGACAGACAAACCGCAACCACAGACTCGACCAGCTGTGGAAGCATCGAACAGGAAACCCAGAACATCTGGTGCTCCACTTCCTCTGAAGGCTGTGCAAGTCTGGGTGTGTGTGTGTGTCCCCGCCTGTGTGCATGTCTGTTTTCTCTCCCACTGTTGTTTAGTGGGACGCGGATGCAGACAGGGTTGGAAACCACAGGTCTTGTGGTGACAAGGGAGCCAGACACCCGCTCCCCAACCCTTATAGTGTTTCATCGCTCCTCAGACAGTGACCCGAGATCTGACCCAATCTTGCAGGCCACCCTCCAACACTCGGCCCATGTTTAGCTTCAAGTCGCCGCGCAATTGAAGGAAAGGATTTTTTTTCCTTTTGGTTTTAGAGGAGCTTGTTTGGGGATGAGGTGGGAGGGCTCTGCTTAAATATAACTTGGCCGCAGCATACAGACCCACAAAAAGCAGCGTCTGGATGAAAGCTGTTTTTAAAACAATTTGAGGACAATCTGTGGATGACCTCTGAGGCTGCGTGCTGTTCAGGGGGCTGTTTTCCCACTAGTGGTGTTGTCCTGTGTGTAAGGCCTGAGAGAGACAGGGACTGAGAAGGGAAGAAACGTAAGGAAGTGAAAAGAGAAGCCTCTCCCAACTGGAGCATGAGGTCTAACTCTCCTGTTAGTCCCCTGTAGGAGGTAGGCATTATTATACCATTTTTACAAATCATGAAATTGAGATGCAGAGGGGGTCTGTAACTCACCCAAGATCACTCACAAGTAAGGAGCAGGGCCAAGGTTCAAAATCAAATCTGACTCCTAGCCACATGCTAGCCCGGATCACACTTCATTCTTTCAATGAACGGTAATAATCTCAACTGTGCCTAGCACATAGTTGATGTTCAGTAAATGTTTCTTGAATTAATCAATGAAATGAGCTATCACAGATGGCAGGGACTGTCATCATCACTGTAACCCCAGGGCTCAGCACAGGGCCCGGCAGGAGTGAGCGTTTCATGAATGTCAGTGAATGAATGACTAACAGCACAGGAACTCTTAAGTTTCAGAACAGTGACACTTCATCTACCTGGAGCGCATTTACTTAGCGAAGTCAACTGTTTTGATCCTGGCTAAAGATCTGAAAGGAGGAGGAAGGAACCACAAGCATTCAACAGAAGTCATAAGCCCTTAAAATTTCCAGTACTTGACTCAGAGAACTTCTCAGGCTCTGTCGAGACTGGTTACCATTACAACTAGTGCTAAAAGGTTTGCTTGCTGATCTTACTAGCATTGGTTTAGAAAGGAGGTGGCACGCTAGAGAAAGCTTGCTGGCAACAGCAATTTGGGAATTCAACTAGCAGTTTCAGACTGGTTAAGTGGCATTGTGGATGCAACGAGGAAAGCGCCAGGAGAAGAGGGAGGGAGGAGACAGTGAATGAACTGTCTGATCCTCGGATATCTGCCCTCGAGATAACTCCCAGAAAGCCAGATTCAACTGTAGCGTCTCCGATTAGTGTTCTGACTAAGATTAACGGAACAGCAGCAAAGGCGCGGGGACCTCAACTGCGCTCGCCCACTTCTTGGAGGTAAGAACTACACATGCGCCAACCTGAGACGACACATGCGCCGTGCCCGAGCCCGTGCTCCTTTTCATACCTGTGGGTGTGCCGAGCCGTCTCTTCCGAGCTAGGCTTAAGTCACGGCAGCGCCACGGAGTGCATGACGTCATTCGAGAGCGCCTCCCGTGGTGCCGAAGCCGGGTGCTCAGATTGGCAACGGCGTTGCTGTGGAGACACTGCGTCAAGCCCCGCCCCCAAGACGGGATTGGAGGAAGACTGGTCAGCTGACGTTGTGAGGTTTCTACAGCGCGCTGGAGGCCCTGTGGGGCGCTCTGGGCGCCCACTGCCCTGGCAACCATGACGCCTTGCACTCTCCGGATGGTGGATTCCCAGAAACTAACCCCAAAGCTAGAGTCAGAGCCCAAAGTTCAATTCGACGGACTTCTTGACCTAAGGCAGTAAATATCGGATGTGCTGCTCATCCAAGTAAAGTAAAAGTTCAAAGTGCCCTAGTTCGGATTCCGCGTGGAGCAGGAGGCCCCAGAGAGGCTTAGATTTGTCACTTCAGCAGCATCGTGTAGGAAGATGAGTCTGGACCAGAAGACTTAGTGCCAGGGGTAACCTAACTTTTTGAGCCTCAATTTCTTCTCGAGATCTTTCCAAAGGCATGTAAATATATTATTTCTTCCTTCCTAAGAAAACCTTTTCTTGACTCTACTTCTCCCTCCAGCTCCCGCCTCATCTCTTTTTCTGAATATCAAAGCTCCTCGAGCGCCTGTAGTCGTCGTCTGCAGCTCTCTCATCCCACTCTTTGTTGAACGCTCTCCCACACACTCTCAGTTTCTTCCCAGTCGTCGTCTTACCTGCTCGATCAGCAACATTGGGAATGGTTTATCACCCTCTCCTCCACGAAATACTTTCTGCGTTTGGCTTGCGGGTCCGCACACTTTTGGCTTTCTTCCTCCATCTCTGACTCCTATTTCTCCATCTTATTTGCTGGTTCTCATCATTCCCCTGACGTCTAAATGTAGCAGTGCCCCCAGGACTGGCTTCTTAGACTTCTCTCTCTTTTCACTTAACATCTTGGTGATCTCATTTAGTTTTAGCTTTAGCTTTAAAGACGATCTGTATGCCAGTGAGAACCTGGACTTCTCCCCCAAACCTCCATACTTAATATACTACTACCTATTTGGCATCAAAACGTAGATGCCTAGTAGGCACGTCAAACTCATCGTGTTCAAAGTGGAACTCCTGAGCTTCTCCACCAAAAGATATTCTACCTGTACTTTTCTCATCTCAAACAATGCACCTCCATCCTCCTAACTTCTCAGGTTCCAAACCTTGAGTTCTCCTTCATCTCCTACCCAATCTGGCAGCAAACTCTATTGGCTTTTTCTTCAAAATATATCCAGAGTCCAAACTCCGCTGAAGCCATCTTAGACCCAGCCCCCATCACCGCTCACCTGGATTATTGTAATTGCCTCCTAAGTGCTCTTCCACAGTCCTCCTTTAGCTCTCTCCTCCTCAGTCTGTGTTCACATAACAGCCTGAGTAATTCTGTTGAAAGTCATATTCTCTGTGCAAAACCTTCCACAGACTCTCTCTCTCAGAGTAAAAGCCAGTTTTACCATGGCCAGAAATGTCCTGCACCACGAGGCTCCTGGAACCTCGCTGAGCAGCTCTCCTAATTTTGACTCCCTTCCTCACTTTACTCCAGCCACAAAAGTCGTGTGCCGGGCTTACTTCTGCCTCAGGGACACTGAACTTGCTTTTACTTTTGCAAGGAACTTGTCCTCCAATACCCCCAGAGCTCCCTCCGTCACCTTCTTCAAGGCTTGGCTCAAACATTCCTTACTCAAAAAGACCTTCTCTAACCTCCTGATTTTAAATTGCAAATCTGACTCGCCAAGCCCACATTTCCATATGCTCTGTTCCATTTATCACCTCTAATATACCATATAATTTACTTCTTTGTCTTATTTGATGTCTCTCTCCACATGAAGGCGGCAATTTTGTCTGTTTTGTCATTGATGCTTCCCCAATTCCTAGACAGGGGCCAGCGTGTGATAGGTGCATTACCGCACAAAATCGGGGTTCTCTGCCTGATGCACATAAAAAAGCCAATTAATTATGGCATCAGCCTTTGGAGGAGAAATCAGCTTTTATTCTGCAGGGAGACAGGGGGCGTGCGCCCTTAGATCTGTCTACCCGATTCGGGATTTGGGGTGAAATTTAAGAGGTTACAGAGAATAGACTGGCATGCGGAAACACTGGTGGGACAGATTTTTGTTGGTGGACTTCAAGCATTTATGGTCAGGTGGGGTTTTTTTAACTTTTTTTTTTTTTGAGGAAGATTAGCCCTGAGCTAACTACTGCCAATCCTCCTCTATTTGCTGAGGAAGACCGGCCCTGAGCTAACATCCACGCCCATCTTCCTCTACTTTATACGTGGGACGCCTACCACAGCACGGCTTTTGCCAAGCAGTGCCATGTCCGCACCCGGTATCTGAACCTGCGAATCAGAACGTGTGAACTTAACCGCTGTGCCACCAGGCTGGCCCCTATGGTAAGGTTTTAAACGTTTATAACAGGATTCTAAACATTTTTGATGAGGTGGGGAAGGAATTTTAACACTGGGTCTTCCTGAATGAGGGACCCTCACTTCTCATAAGAGTCTGACTTTCAAGTTCTGCTCGTGTCCCAGGTCCTTGGTTTCTGTGGGAAGGAGGATCTTTGGTCCCGAGGTCATTTCAGCTCACAATTTCTTCTTTTGTGCCTGCCCTGGCGACATGACTTTGCAGATTTTCTGAAAGGCTGTTCTTAATCACTCTGTTGATAAGAGATGGGGTCGGTTGAACTGGTCCTGGAGGGCCCATGATTGGGTGCTAGGTAAGTATCTGTTGAGGGAATGGATGCATTTCAAAATCAGAGGGTTAAAACATGGATAGACCTTGAGGGTATTATGAAATACCCTTATTGTGAAATAAGCCAGACAGAGAAAGACGAACTCTGTATGACTCCACTCATAGGTGGTAGTTAACATATAGACAAAGAGAACTGATCGGTGGTTCCCAGGGGAAAGGGGGGTGGGGGGAGGGCACTAGGGGTGAAGTGGTGTACCTACAACATGACTAATAATGATGTACAACTGTAACTTCACAAGGATGTTAACTATCATAATCTTAATAAAAAAAAAAATCAGAGGGTTAAGTAGTGTTAAAGGCCAGAGCTTTCGGGGCTTGGGTTCCAGTCCCCCTTTGCCGCTTAGCTGCTTTGCAACCTTTAGGAAGTTTAACCTCTGAGCTTCAATTTGCTCATTTTTAACGTGGGTGAAATAACACTTGAGCTGTTCACTGAGCAATATTGAACACCTCCCTGTATGAGCAGCTAGCACCGTGCTAGTTGCTGGGGACTCAATGAAGAACCTAAATGCACGTGTTTCCTCCCTCCCCCGGAGTCTGTATCCTGAGGAAGGGGTACAGACAATAGTGTACAGTCATCCAAATAGGTGATTATTCACCGACTGTGGTAAGTGTGACTGAGGGAAAGCAATATCGCACTGATGTGGAGAGGGGTGGGGAACAGCTTCCCCGGGGGAGTGCCTTCATTGTATTAGTCCGCTGGGGCTGCCGTAGCAAAGTGCTACGGGCCCAGGTGGCTTAACCAACAGAAATTTGTTTCTCACAGTCCTGGAGGCTAGAGGTCCAAGATCAAGGTGTCGGCAGGTTTCATTTCTTCTGAGGCCTCTCTTCTTGGCTTGCAATGGCTGCCTTCTCACTGTGTCCTCATATGGTCTTTCCTCTGTGCGTTATCGCCCTGGTGTCTCTCTTCTTCTACGGACACCAGGCAGATTGGATTAGGGCCCACCCTAAAGGCCCCCTATTAAGATAATTTCCTCGTTAAAAGCTGTATCTCCAAATGCAGTCACACTCTGGGGTACTAAGGGTTTAGGACTTCAGCATATTAATTTGAGGAGGGGCACAATTCAACTCATAGCATTAATTAAGATCCAAAGTATACGTAGGATAGAGAGATGGGACAAGGGGAGCCTTCCAGGCAGAGGGAAGAATGTGCGTAGAAATCCTATGGCTGGAAGGAGTGTGACAAGTTGGAAGAAAGGACAGACCCATGTGGCTTGAACTCAGAGCGAGGGGTCTTGGTAGGAGATACACTGGGGGTTTGGGGAGCAGCACATGCAGGGCTTTGAAGGCCACCTGGGTCTGTAGTTGGTGATGTGACAGGAGCTGTCTTATGAAAAGATTACTCTGATCGCGAATGGGTTGGCAGGGGCTACTCTCGGCTCCAGAGTTGAGTGATGGTGAGGACGACCTGATAGGGTACGTGGTGAGTGTCTCACGGGGCTCCGTAAAGGGTTAACTAGGAGCATTTTTAATAATGCCCACCTGACACTTGATGGGGAGATTGGATGGAAAAGAGGCCAGGAAGGGGCTTAATAAACTGAAGTGATGAGCAGATGTAAGAGCACATTACAGATGAGCGTCCCACAGTACTGAATCTCCATATTTGGGGGTGCTGGGTGTCATATAGCTTAGACAGATGTGATTTATGATTAAAACTGAAAGTTTTCAATCAGACTAATGAGAAAGAGAAAGGTGTAGATAGAGCAGTCGAACACTTCCCCCATAGGTCTATCTCCTGGAAGCCAAAATACAAGGGAAATGATTTGGTGAGAAGGAGCGTTCATCTTTTACTTCTTTTCTTCAGGTCCAGCTAAAAGCTTCCCTTAGCTTTACCCTTGGGGAACTGATACACAGCAGGTTCTCGTAAAAGATCTGGGGGGGGGGGGGGCGTGAAGAGGGGCAGTCATCTCCTATAGGTTCTCAGTAAGGGTGGTGTTGGGCAGCAGGAGGGTTTCTCATTTCATTCCTAGAATTCAGTGTCAGGAAGTGGAACCTGGTGTGACCTCCCACCTTCAACTTGAGTGGTGACTCTACCCTTTGATGATTTAATGCAGCAAAGACTCATTGCCTCTTTGGTTGGAAGGAATCAAGATGAGCATTTCATCCCAATGGCTAAAGAACAATGACTATCCTCTTCGACATCCTTGACAGAGAGCCATCTGCCCGTGATTGGGAAGGTACAAGGCAACCCATCCTAATTCGGACAGAATTAATTGTTAGAATCTGCTTTGTAATATTAGGCCACAACTATCTCTTGTAAGTCCTGATCTGGCCTTCAGGAGCTACACAGACCCTGATCCCTCCTTTTTATAGCATCCAGTATTTGACAGTAGCTGTATGGTACCCATCTGAGACCTCTATGACTTTGAAGCCAGGTACCTGAGGGTTACTGTAAATATTCAGTAAGAACATGATTACGTTTCAACCTTGTTCCCAACATAGACATAGATGAAAAGAGGTTAATCTTGTCAATTTGCTGGGTTTTTTTCTTTAACCCGAGGGTTGACTCAAGGGTCACAAGGATTTACAAGCTTGTTGTGCAGAAGAAAAAGAATGCCTTTAAGGAAGTTATGATCACCAGATAACCAGCCCCCAGCTGCCATTGATGCGCAGAAGTCCAAATGCCCAAGGGCTTATCTGGAGTGAAAGAAACACGAATTTCCCCTGTTTCTCTGAAACCTCTCTTCCCAAGCCCCTTACCTCTATAAAGACCCCCTGCTTTCTTCCTTGCTAAGGCAGATTTGAGAGAACCCCCCCTCCCGCCTTCTCGTTTTGGCCAATTCAAATAAACCTGTCTCCATCTCCAGGTGCTGGTGTCTCAGTGACTGGTTTACCGCACATCAGGCACCCGAACTTAAGATTAAGAGGTTCGGTATCAACTCCTGTTCCCATACTGAACACCTCCCCCCCAAAAGTGTTCTTTTCTTAACAGCGATTTCATGAATATCCTTGTACATAAGTCTTTGCACACTTGTCTTTGGATACATTTCTATACGTGACACTGCTCGGACAAATGGTACATTTTCTAGCTTTTGTTATATATTTACAGATTACCCTCCCTGAAGAGTGATTTTGTTTATACGCCCACAAGCGCGGTTGACAAGAGAGCCAGTTTCCCTACACCCTAGTCACCAAACGGGGAATTTTCATTCTTTTAATCACTGCCAATCTGATAGGGGAAAATGATTATCTCATGGTTGCTTTAATTTGCATTTCTTTGATTATGGGTGAGGTTGGACATGTCTTCCAACCACATCCTATACTTTTGCAATCAAGTTTTGGAGCTAAATGCAAGACCTTACATGTTTTCCAGCTAAATTTTATCTCGTTGGATTCCACCAATCATTCCTTCCTGCTGAGATAACTTGGATTCTGATTCTGTAATTCCGACATACTGGCCTTCCCTCCCAGGCTTGTGCTATTTGCACAGTTGATAAGCAGTTATCTTTGGCTTTGTCCAAGTTGTTGATAGAATGTTAAAGAGTTTCAGGCCAAGGATAGAACTGTTTGGCGTGCCCCTAGAGAACGCCTTGGGAGGACACTGTCCCATCCCCCTCACCATGCCCAGGAGCCATCTGCAGTGGGTGGAGCCTTCACCTGGGACACAGGGCCAGGAACGGATTCCAGCCTTGACACTAATTACCTGTGTGGCCTTGAGCAAGGGGTGTCACCTTAAATGGAGATGTGCCACATGGTTATCTAATGTCCCTTCCAGCTCTAGCAGCCTTTTTGTCACTATTTTGTCCATAAAGATTTCGTGAGAAACTGTCAAACTGTTGTCAAAAGGGGGCCGGCTCAGTGGCGCAGCGGTTAAGTTCACACGTTCCACTTCGGCGGCCTGGGGTTCACCAGTTCGGATCCTCGGTGCAGACATGCTGTGGCAGGCGTCCCACATATAAAGTAGAGGAACATGGGCACGGGTGTTAGCTCAGGGCCAGTTTTCCTCCGCAAAAAGAGGAGGATTGGCAGATGTCAGCTCAGGGCTGAGCTTCCTCAAAAAAAAATAATAAAATAAATTTTAAAAATTAAAAAAAAGAAAAAGAAATTTGTCGATGTAAACTTTATAATTTTTTTAAATTTAGGACATTTGCCTCGATTGTCCATGATTCCTCCAAGTACTCTGAGATGTCAGCAGTGCTCAGTGCTCCCTGCCGAGGCTCGCCAGTTCCGTCCCCCAAGATTGTTTTCTTTCATGGCATGAAGGAGCGGTCACTGGGATCGCCTCCCCTCTTCCCAGTACAGACAGAGGCCCCGGATGTGGAGGAGGGTTAATGAGCTGTGACAGCACTGAAAGGAAGCAGGTCGAAAGGCTTAGTTGAGGGGAGAGGGTGTCTTTGTGAGACTGACAGATGCCAACTATTCTTGTCATTAGCCAAAGAAACAGCTCCCCTGGGCCTGTGACAGGGACCTCTGATTACTCAGCCCTGGGCATAGTGAAGAAAATAAGCATCAACAGAATTGTCTGCAAATGAAATGATGCCGCGTTATGACACCTTTCTTTAGGTTCCTTCATATCAACAATCAGACAAGACTATTCTGAGGAAGGAAGAGTAAACATTAACCCCAGGAAACAGGTAAAGACACTAAAAGAGAAATTACGTAGCGATTTAAGTGACATAGTGAAGCAGTCATAACTCCGGTCACCTGGCTTCTTGTTGCCATGCCTGCAATGTAGTTGTTGATTTGCACCTTGTAAATTTATCACTAAATTATGTACAGTTATGGCCATTCCTTATTGTCTGTTCTTACTCATTCGGACTAATAATAATAGTGACAATGATAATAAAGACTGACGCGTAGCTCTTCTGTATGCCGGTCGCTGTTCTAAGTGCTTGCCATGAATTAGCCCTTGCATCCTCACAGTGAGCACCTCTGCAGGGTAGCTGCTGTTTTCACCCCATTTTTCACAGATGATGAGATGGACACAGAAGAGAGTTTAAGTAACCCGCTCAAGGTCCTTTTTGGAAGGGGTAGAGCTGGGCTTCAACTCAAGTAGTCTGGCTCCATGCATCAGGCTCCAAATGGCAACATTCTGCTGCCTCTGTAAGGAAATGAGAATCAAAAAGGAACAGCTAGGGGCCGGCCTGGTGGCGCAGTGGTTAAGTTCGCACGTTCCGCTTTGGCTGCCCGGGGTTCGCCGGTTCAGGTCCCGGGTGCAGAATGGTACCTCTTGGCAAGCCATGCTGTGGCAGGCATCCCACATATAAAGTAGAGGAAGATGAGCATGGATGTTAGCTCAGGGACAGTCTGAGGAGGATTGGCAGCAGATGTTAGCTCAGGGCTAATCTTCCTCAAAAAAATAAAGAAAAAAAAGGAACAGCTATTGGAAATTATTTCTCCTCAAAACTGTGAAACTGCTTTGCAAACGGTGGTCTCAACTACTATGGAGAAACAAACTAACTCTTTCATCTCCTGAATGAACTGTGTGAAATGGAAGGAGGAGCCCAGTGGAAGAGGGAAGTCAGAGGCACGAACAACCTATAACTTAGGTGCACAGCTCTGGGGTGTCCCCAGTGGTCCGGGTAAATCAGCAGTGAGTGAGTGTGACCACGAGGGAGAACACATGAGCCGCAGGACCCTGGATGACAACAAGCCCGTGTCACGAGACCGAACCGCGCTCTCCACAGCCCTTCTTCCAACAGCAGGGTTCCAGGGCCGAGTGCGGGAAGTGCTGGCACGGGGAGCACCGAGGACTCGGCCAGGGCTGGGCGCCAGTCGACGGATTCCCAATATTGTCTTCCAGTTGCTAGACTACGCTGCTTTCCAGTACATTATTTGGCATGTAAAAACTCAAATGTAAGTAAAGCATTTTAATACAAATAATTTCAACTGCAACAAGGCAATTGGCTTCTGATTAAGTTGGCAAGAAAAGGTAATGAACTCATTCCGATTGACATATTTAGAGTTCGTCTTGCCAAATCCAATTGGCAGCTTCATAATTATGGAAACGTCCATGTTATTTCCACTCAATCAGGGTTAGGCCTGCTGGTATCTGATTCAATGTTTACTTCATGAATGAGGTCAGTTCCCAGCACAGCTGGGGTTTTAACAAAGGAATCAGAGCTGCTGATCAGCAGACAGCATTCCCACCAGAATCTGACCGTAGTTGTCAGGGCTTCCAGGGCCACCTTCCCACAGATCTCCCAGGTTCGCCGCTCTCTCTGGCACTTTCTGGGGCCTGGCTCTGCTCACTGCTCTGCGAACGCTTCCCTGCAGAAGCAGAGGGAGCCCGGGCTGCAGCCCGGGCAGGATGAGCTCACGTCCCAAGTTTCCCACAGCACAGCAGTTCACTCTGCAACCTGCCCCCTCGGTATTGCAACATCTCGCCCCTTACGAGCTTCAGAACTGCCAGGAAACGGGGTAGGTTTTTTTAAAAAAATTATTTATTCCAGGATGGCTCCACTTGTGTGGTGTAAGAGTGACTCAGAGTGCCTTGGAAGCCACCTCCAAAGGTAACTATGTCCCACAGGCCGGAATGTCCTCTGCGCCAACTCCCCACAGTGGTAAAAACAAAAACAAAAGCTCACAAGGGCTCAAAACACTCACTTTAAGAACACGCGTCTGCGGAGTGGGGTTACCGGGAAAACTGCAGAGGGCAGAAAGGAAGGAGACGCTGCACAGCAGGGCCACGGCTCAGCTCCAAATGAGTTAGTTTAGAAGCAGCAAGGGACTTAAACGTCATTGGCCTGTGCTCCCGAGTCCTGAGCCGCTACAGTGGGACGGCCGTGGCCGTGATAAAGCCTGAGGTCAAAGTCCGAAGGGGCTCTCTTCCCAGCTCTGGCAGCCATCCTTTGTCTTAGTGCCATAAGGTCATAGGAAGCTTAGGGATAGTGATTTGGTTCAGATCCCAAAATAATTGTGGGCATCATGTGCTGGTACAGTTTCACCTAAGAAAATCTGTTGGGGAACAAAATCTGGAGTAGGAGATGGTTGAGGAACTGGATGCAAAGGCAGGTTCTCTAAGGAAGCTTCCCCCTTCTCAGCACTGACGAGGCAGCATGTGCACCGAGCTCTACACTCTCATCTCCTAACGAACAGTGAGACCAACGGCCGCTGATGTAGACGAACACAGAGGAGACGTAGTCCTGGATGTAGAGAGGGAAGCTCTCCCTTCCGTTGACCTCAACAGAGGTGGTTTTAGGGTGAAGACTCCACTTTCTCTTCTCTAAAGAGTGGGTCCAGCTGCCACAGGAGACTTTAGAACATCTGTCCCCACTTGGAGGTCAGCATCCCCATAGGGTCCAAAGAGCTGGCTCAAGTGCAATTCACAGCCTTTCTCTTACCTGCTTCCCCAAGAGCACAACCTGTGTCAGCCCTCCGGTGTGAAGTCATCTCCCTGTTCCTGCTACTTACCCAAACGCCAGTTACTTGCCGTCCATTCTGTAGCCTCTTTTATCCAACTTTGGCATAGTCATGTCATCTTATAATCTAAATGATCTTTTCCCTGCATATGAAGTCTTTGAAGATGGGACCCTAAACAGAGTTCATCTTTTTGCCCTCGCTGGCCTCATCACCGGTGCTCTCGGCCCATTCAGCTACAGCCACGCTGGCCACCCTGCTGATGCTTGAACGCCCCAGACACATACCCCGCACAGAGACTTGGCACATGCTGTTCCCTCTGCCTGCGACACTCTTTCCTGGGTCATCCACGTGGCTCCCTCAGTCCCTTCCTTCAGGTCTGTACCGCATGCCTGCTAATCAGTAAGGTCTTCCCGACATCGTCCTCCCCGAACTCTTCTATGTGTGTCTCCCTTTCACACGTGTCTCCCCTGAGCTTTGATCCCACCTAAACAGCACACACTACTTGTCTTCTTCCGTATCTGCCTCCCCACTGGAATGCCAGCCCCACATGGGCAGGGCTTTTTGACACTTTTGTCCGCTGTCACAGCCCAGTGCCAGAAACAGTGCTCTGCGTCCGCACTCCACGCCGTTCATGGAGTGTGTGCTGCACGCCAAGCACTGGTCTGGGCTCTGGATATTTTTGCAAAAGTTTCTCCAGTGCTTGAGGAATTCATTCGACTTTAAGGAACTAAGTAAGTTCTTTAAGCTGAAGGAAACTGTGTCTCCTGATTCCTCAGCGACATTTGAGGCGCTGGGCAGCACTTCGCCTCTCTCCCTCCCCTGGCTGCCCCTTTGATTCTAAATATTCTGCTTTCCCAACAGACGTAGGAAAGCGGGGTCATGCGAGAGGAAAGACAGAGCCTCCTATGATTGAGGAACGCAGGTGTACGCTCCGCTGGGGCCAACTCGTCCTGCCTGGAGGAAATGCATCTGAAATGTTGTCACCCTCCCCTGGTTGTGAACAGAGCTGTTTAACTGTTGGGGTCGTGGGCGAGGCAGCGCATGCAGGCAGGCGGCCATTACACAGGCTTTCCAGAGAGAGCTGGAAAGCTGATGCCCAAGCCACAGGAAGAGGGACGGCCGCCTGCAGCCAACAGCCTGCCTGGAAAGTCTGCGTAAGGGACACCTGGAGGAAGCAGGGGCTCCATCGCCTCCTCCGCCGGCTGTAACCCTGTCCTTCTCGCTCAGCCCATCCGTCGGGGGTGCTCCCGGCTTCCCACCCCAGAGATGCCGCTCCTGGACGCGCTCCTGGACGCTCACCACATCCCTCGAGTTGGAAAGCTCTCCGATTTCTCCCAACAAATCAGAACTTCTTTTCTTTCATCTCGTTTGAAAAGCCTTTTGTGAGATTGCTAGTGACCCAAATGTAACCTCTCTATTCCTGTCTGAAGGGAAAATATTTCCAGATTAGAGGGAGCGTTCTGCGGTGCCAAGACCAGGCATATATGAATACTTGATTATGCCTCCGAAACCCGGCCTCCCAAACACGCGCCAGTCACAGTGTCAGAAACGAACCGTAAGCAAGCAAAGAAACTGTGAATCAAGGGGTTTATTATTTTCCCCTATTAAGTATTTTGAAACCAAAGTTTCCACATTTTTAAGGGTTTGATGTCATAAAATTCCCATGTATGACAGCATTTTGAAAAACAGAGTCATTGTGTGCGGGTGGAATGTGAGAGGTTTAGTGTACAAGTTAGAAAATAAATCCCTAAGCTCGCAATTTGAGATGCATAGACAGGGGGCCACTGAGCTGTAGCCTTTGCTACAATGGCTTCACGTGATGTTGAGACTGTCCCGGAAAAATTCTTCGTCTTCTGAGGAGCCCCAGGACCTCCAGCCAGCTGTTGTTACTCCAAGTGCAATGTAAGCGGGTTTCTATTTAAAACTTTCGCACCTGGTACTTGAATATTCCTTGTTTTCCGAAGGGTACCCTCTTTCCCTCAGATTCTTTTCCACCTTCCCTTTTCCGTGCTAGTCTGGTTCAACCCGACCTGCTGGCATGAAGAGAAAGACACTTATAAAAGGAGCTGGGAAGTTGTGGTCTTTTCCTTTGCAGCTGAAACTAGGCTCAGATGGAGAGAAGACAGCCCCAGAAACAGTGCTGGGGGGTGACTGGGGACAGGGGCCTGGGAGATGGGGAGGAAAGAGTGTTCCCTTGCCTTTATGTTAAAGATTAGGCAAAAGCAGACACTCAACACCTTATGCCTTCACAGTCTGCGCTGGGGAGGCCCTTGGATGCCCCCTGGGTCCCAGGGCGCCTACTCTAAATAAACTCCAGGTCTGTCAGCATCGGTTGCCTCTGGGAGGGGTAGGAGACTCAAGAGAAGAGGAAAGAGAACTTAGAAGGGAGATAAGAGAGGGTGCAAATGGGCAAACGGAGGGCTATGCAGCAAAAGCGATCCAAGGAAGAGACTGAGAGTAAGCTGGGTGTCAGCAAACAAGCCTGAGGTTTGATGGTTTGTATTATTACCCTCAAGGTCAAAATCTTCCTTGCATTAATTTGGAGTGAGTAGTGGTGAGGCTCAGATAGGCAACGACTGGGGCTTTAAGACTCGGGTTTTTCCTCCATTTCCCCGGTTGTGTAAAACTTCTCACTTCTGATCTCCGGAGAGTCCTCCTCCTCTTCCTCCTCCTCCTCTTTCTCCCGGGCACAGCCAGTCTCAGAGGGATGGGAGCCTCAGGGACAGGAGTGCTGGAGCAGGCCTGTGGTAGTTGGCCAGGAACAAGGCATTGCTTGTGTGTAGAGGCTTTTCCAAGGCGGTTTCACAGATACGGGGACCTCGGACAGAGAGGAACAGAGAAATTCCAGAGATTTTTCACGTGCAAGCGGATATTTCCTTTGAGAGTTTCTAGACTAAATAATACTCCTTGTGTCTAAGGGACGGTGTATACTGCTGACCGGGCAATGTTCTGTGTGCACAGGGTGAGCGTCAGAGCCCCGCGCGGCCTGGAAGGAGATGTGAGCAGAGGAAGGTGAAGTTGCCTGAGAAAATGTCTTTCCTGGAAGAATACTGGTGCTGTTCTCTGTCCGCCTGACATGACGTCCATGTCAAATATGGAGGACGAATTTGTTGGCAGACCTTGGGGATGAAATGGGCTAGACTTCTAAGAATAAATGTACCTGGCCTCTCTATTAACCATTTCCATACATATATATTAATAGACTTTATTTTTTAGAGCAGTTTTAGGTTCACAGCAAAGTTGAGTGGAATGTACAGAGATTTCCCAGAACCCCCTGCTACCCCACATGTCAGCCTCCCTCACTATCAACATCCCCCAGCAAAGTGGGATGTCTGACATTGATGAACCTACATGACACGTCATTATCACCCAAAGTCCATCTTCACATTGGGGTTCACTCTTGGCGTTGGAACATACCATGGATTTTGACAAATGGAGAATGGCGTGTGTCCACCATCGTATTGTCACACACAATAGTTCCACTGCCCTAAAAATCCTCTGTGCCCCCCATATTCATTCCTCCCGCCCCGCTAACCCCTGGCAGCCACTGAACTTTTACTTTCTCCATAGTTTTGCCTTTTCCAGAATGTCATGTAGTTGGAATCGTACAGCGTGTGGTCTTTCCAGATTGGTTTCTTTCACTTAGCAGCGCATTTAAGTTTCCTCCATGTTTTTCATGGTTTGATGGTTCATTTCTTTTTGGTGATAAGTAATATTCCATTGTCTAGATGGAGCCATTTTCATAGATGTATTTTGGAAGCCAGATTTTTAATAAGGTAATATAATTTATTAATTAGTATAATAAAATCTATGATAAGATAAAGGCAATATTTGACTTAAATAGAGCAACCTCTATATCAACCCTATTAATATGAAGGCTATTATCCTTCTGGTTGTAATAAGTAAACTGAAGCACAGAGAGAATCTGACTTACACACAGGAAAGAATAGAAGAGTCTAGAATCCCAGCCATTTGCTCTATCGCATGTAAAGTCTGAAGTTTATATGTGTGGGGAGGGGAGGACTACTTGAGGACACTCATTTCCAGCTCCTCAGGTTTCCTGTGAAGGAAATTCCTTAGAGTGACGCTCCTTGCCTCCACTCTCCCCCGAGCACTTCCTCCTTCACCCATTCCTCTCTCAAGGGAGGAGGAGCCACTTTCCCAACTGGACAGATGGGGAGAGACTGGGCGTGCCCAGAGTATCGCCCCTCTCCTCTCTGGGGTTGTCCTGCCTTAGAGAACACCCTGGTCGGCTGCCCGGCTCTCAACCAGACAGGGGAAATCAGCATGTCTGACTCAGGAACACAACATCCATGAGGCCACTCGCCCACAGACCTAAGCCATGTCCCACAAACAGCTTTATAAAGATAGTAACACTCGCTTACCAATCTCCATTTTCTCCACCTCCTGCATCTGATTGGTTATCCTGATCTAAGTGGGGAAGACATTCCTTCCCAAAGCTAATAATGTCATCACAAATAGATTTTAAAAGGCTGTCATCACATTATCAGCCAGATTCTTTCTGGTGCCAAGGTGTCTCTACCATCACCAAGTCTGGTAACTCTGAAGCTATTTTAGGCCTGAAGGACAAGATTTAGTGAACTGACAGAGTAACTTAGATTAAAAGCACTGGACTGGCCTGAAAGTGTAGCCAGCCCACTTTCAGAGAATCATTTGACCCCTTAGAGAAATCTGACTGAAAAACTAATTTTAGACCAGAAATTCAACCACCTACAGCCTATACAACAATTCTATCTGGAAAGGTCAACACAGAACCAACTGCATTGATCTCACTTGTAAGTAGAAGATAAAAACAACGACAAACAAACGCATAGCATTGGAGATTGGATTGGTGGTTACCATAGGGGAAGCGGGGGAGGGCAAAAGGGGTGATTAGGCTCACGTGTGTGGTGATGGACTATAATTAGTTTTTGGGTGGTGAACATGATGTAATCTACACAGAATTCGAAATACATTACGCTGTACATCTGAAAGCTATATATTGTTATAATCCAATGTTACTGCAATTAAAAAAACAATAATTAAGAAAAAGAACCAAATGCAAACTAAAATCTCCATGAAAGAATAACAGATATTAAGGCGATAACAATTTCTTATCAGGTGTTGCAAAGAACCTCCCTCTCCTGTCCTCCTGGTTTGACACACATTTTTCTGCCTTGAAGTTCGTCCCAGAACATCCAGGTCACTTTGTAACATTTGAATTTCCTTGAGCCAAGGTTGAAGTACTTCCACAACTTACTGACAGTGATAGTAAAAAAGTGTAATGTTTATGTGTGTGACTGTCTAGGGCCTACCCAAGAATCAGGATGAGCCCCTTGAGACGGAAGCTGATTTGCCTACAGATAGTGTATTCTCTCCACAGCATCCCTCAAGAGAGTCAGTTGCTGTTTGATGAGGAGGTGGACGGTGACGATGACAGGAAGGTTCTCCCAGGCGCGGTCACCATCTTGGTTGAGGTGGGCTGCTCAAGGAGACAGACGCTGGCTACCGATGCGACTGACATGTTGACATCCCCAGCACTTTCCTCCATCGCCCATCTCCACTCAGGCTGGGAGGTCCAAATGTGCCAGGCCCAGTTCTACCCAAAGAACCAGGCGTGGATGTCTTCTGGAGGCCCTCTGGAAGAGGTTTTGCTTTTCTTCTATAAGAGACAGGACTAGAGATGCCCCTTCCTCTTCTTCCTGCTTTGACTGTGGGCATGATTCCTGGAGCTGCAGCAGCCATTTATGACCACGAGGTGACCAAACAACTCTAAAGCCACTGGTAGCCTAGTGCACAAAGGCTGCTCCAGCTGCCAACCTTCTCTCCCCGGGTGTAACTATGGCGGTCACAGGAAATGCCCAGCATGTCATTAAGCCAAAGAAGACAAACTGAGCTATTAAAACTAACTGCTGGCCTACTACCCTCAGTTAATACAAATGGAACAAGATGTTAAAAAATGATTCCATTTCAATTCTGGTGAAGATCCTGAGGCAGAGAACAAACCAGTAGGTGCCAACTACTCCTTTGTTCCAAAGTGAGGTGCTAGACCAGCTCAGCAGGGCCGGGAAAGAGCTGTCTGAGAACTGTGACCCCGTGGGTTGGGGAGTGGCAAGGCCAAAGGGAGAGACTGGAACTTCGATGATTTCTGCAGAGAGAGTTGTTGCATGCTGGCGCACTTCCCCCCCCTCCATCCCTCCCAGCCCACCCCATGGATGAGAGGAGGGGTCCTAGTGCGAAGGACTTGGAGGAGGCCATTAAGAGAGCTTTGCAACACCTCATACACACCCAGGAACTTGTGGGACCAGACAACTTGTGTATGTCACATGCCCAAGAAATCTTTTTTTGAAGATTTTATTTTTCATTTTTCCTTCTTTTCCCTAAAGCCCCCCAGTACATAGTTGTATATTTTAGTTATTGGTCCTTCTGGTTGTGGCATGTGGGATGCCGCCTCAGCATGGCTCAATGAGCAGTGTCATGTCCACACCCAGGATCCAAACCGGCGAAACCCCTGGCCACTGAAGCGGAGCGTGTGAACTTAACCACTCGGCCACGGGGCCGGCCCCCCGAGAAATCTTAAGGGCAAGAAGCCGTAAAGGCAGAACAAGGGGAGGTGGCTGCACCATTGAGTGCAGAGTCCCACCCCCTGGGTAATTTCCCGTAGACCAGATGTGGGCCGTGAAAAAGAGCTGGCCCAAGAGGGCTGCCGGGAGGAAGAGGCTGAGCAGAGATGTTAAGGCACCAGCTGAAGACGTCCTCATCCCCCTCAAGGGAGCCACAGGTGAGCAATCCGCCAGCTCATGGGGAGTCTCCAAAGAACCCCAAAGCCCCTCACAGGAGAAAAAGTCAGCTTTAAATGTTTGCCATGGCCAAAGGGAGCAATGGCCAGTTACATAGGTGCCCCCATACTTCGCCCCCCAGAGGCCGAGGCTGCCCAGCGAGCAGGAGGGAGGAGGGTAGAGAAAACGTGGGCAAGTCAAGTGTGAGGGTGAATCTTATGTGTCCACTTGACTGCGCCACGGGGCGCCCAGCTACTAGGGCAAGCATTCTGGGTGTGCCTTTGAGAGTGTTTCTGCACAGGATTAGCATTTGAGTCAGTAGACTGAGTGAGGCAGATGGCCCTCCCCAATGTGGGCCTCATCCAATCAGGCGAAGGCCTGGATGGAATAAAAGGCTGAGTGAAAAAGAGTTCTCTCTGCCTGTCTGTCTTGAAGCTGGGATGTCCGTCTGCTCCTGCCTCTGCACTCCCTCTCGGACCGGACTGGAACTCACAGCATCGGCTTGGGTCTCCAGCTTGCCGACCGCAGCTCGTGGACTTCTCTGCCTCCATGATCCTTGGAGGCCACTTCCTTGCAATACGTATATATCCTATCGGTCCCGTTTCTCTGGAAAACCCAGACTGATACAGAGATGGGGCTTCGAGGAAGGCCCTTCTCCCATTTCCCATCACAGGTTTCCGGCTGGGAGCAGCCTGAGCTGGCTGGGAAGGAATGTAACTTCAGTGACTCCCCGTGGCACAGAGACCCTGTAGGCCACTCGAAGTGACCAGAGCACTTTTTGCTATCCAACAGCTGGCAGAGGTATCGCCGGGGACCTGAGGAGAAACCAGCCCCCCAGGTAGTGAGGAACGGGCCCAGGAGAGCAAAGAAAAGAGTTTTACTCTGGTGCACCCACTAACCCCGTCTGTGCCGCACCCCGGGTTCACATGGTGTGTGATGCCTACGGTTGGTTTGTGTTTTTAGATAGACCCTGAACATTTCCCGGTCCCTTCTCCCAAACACTAAACTTTTCTCCTCCTTGGAAATCCATGCAGCTTCTAGAGCACAATACTATGTAGAATTTAGGCCTTTGGTTTATTAAACATAAAAAGTAGCTTCAAGGAGCATAGAATTACATGATTCCTTTTTAAATGTGCATGAAAAGCAACTCCTTTCAAAGCCATATCATTTCCCATCCTGCAAGAATCTGCTAGAATTGGAAGAGTTGCCTCAAATCGAGTTCCAAGCTGTGTCTCAGCCAGTGAGAAATGAGTTGGGTCTTTGCACCAGACAGTATGTTGAAAACCACCAGACCAGGAGTAGCTAACAATTCTGTCTCTGCCGAATTCCCAGGAATACGGCGGGGGTTTCCAAGCCCATGTGGGAAGCATTGTCAGCCTGTGCCTGGAGGTGCAAGAAGAGGGAGATT